ACACACACACACACACCTTCTCTCCAAGGACCTCTCCCATGTCAGAACACACAGGAATGTTGGGCATAGTTTCACCACTGCAGCATTCCTGTCCGGTCCATAGAAACACACACATCTCCCAGGAACGAGTCAGGGTGTGGAAGTCTTGTTTTCGCAGCTACTACATCTCTATTGATTACTGTTACACCCCATAAACATTGTGAGCAGCCAAACAGGAGTATGACAAATGAGCTTAGATTTTGTTTAACTGACAACGTGATCTTTTCCATCTGTGTCTTTTGCACAAAATCAATCATAGAAACCAGTCTCCACTCCCGACTGCGTCACGTCAGTCGCTGAAAGGGAGTCCTTCATCCCTGCTCGTCATCGGTCAAGGCGGCCCGTCACAGACCCCTCCAGGCCATCCCTGGGAAGGGACATCAGATCCCTCAGTTCATCACTTTCTGAACCCAGGAAGAGTTCTTGTGTTTGTTGGTGTTTTGAGGCAGCAGACCCCTCATCGTTCTTGCAGGACCAGCTCAGGTACCCACTGGTTGAGGCGTCGGCTCTCCTGGCAGTAGGTCCCCACCTCTTGTAGCCTGCAGTGGTTAGCCTGGGGGTTCTGCATGGGAAACACACAAGACGTCAAATTCATGGTCATACCAGAAACATACCAGAAAGAAATTCAATCACAAGGGTTGAAGTAAATTGTTGAATTGTTCCAGACCGTGCAACAACAGATTGCACCAGGAGTATGGAGCAACATTTTTAGCCACAGCATAAGCACAGTTTGTAATAACACATTAACACTCTGGGTTACATAAGAGCCAAGTGGTGCTGAGTGAACACACCGTAACTAGCATGCAGTGAAGGTCCTCCTGGTTTCTGTTGGCATCCACCGATCCTAGCAGCTGCTGGAGCCGCTGAGCGCCAGAGACTCGCAGGATGGTGATGCCGCTGTCGCAGCAGAACGACTGTAGCAGGGTGAAGTGGATCTGCAGTGCCACATCGTCTTCATCATCACCTGCCAGGACGCACAGCACCACGCTGTCTGGGTCCCTGAGGAGGAGAGAGAGAGAAACAAGGAGAAAATGATGATTGTTGAGTAAGACACTTGCGCTCACATGCCTCGGACTGTTGGGTTGGGCAAAGTTAATAACTGAAGAGAAAGAAGAGCACATCCAGTGCTCGTGTGTCATGAAAATTACAGTTGCAAAACCAAAGTAAATAATTCCAACTCACGCATTAAAAAGTTTTGCAGATTCATAGATGCCGATGGTGAGGCAGTCTTGTTTCTGAGCCGTTACCAGCAGCTCCTCCAGAGCCAGACCCACAGACTGCATCCTGGGGGGGGGGGACAGAACACACAAAAACAATTAAAACACAGGATCATGAACACAAAGCTGCTGCAGAAGGTTGTTTTCAAAATGAATCCATCAATCTAATTCAGAGCTACGTGTCAAGTTCATGTTGCATGTTAGTGATAAAATAAATTATTCAGATTCAGGGTCCAGATACAACATAGATTCAACTACATAAAAAAGCCCAAAGGTAAAAAAAACCTATATATTACCTTGTATATTAATATAATATCCATACTTATCCTGGGATAAGTAGCCTGTAGTGCTAAACTTTATATTTGATAAAAAACAAAATTATTTTATTCTTCAGAGTCACCAAGCCTGCAAATTAATTTAAAGACAAGTATCAGTTGTGTGGGTCCACTCATGAGGCTGTGCAACATGCATGCACAGAAGTGTGCAAACAGAGCTTCAAATTGGCATCAAGAAGGGTTTCAACAACTTTTTAAACTTTTTAATGACTTCATGCATCAGTTGTTTAAGTTGTAATGTGCCTCTGTGTTGTCAAATATTTATGGGTTAAAGGTCAAAGGAGGTTTCAGGTTGCAAATCTGTGCACTGCAGAAACATATAGTCCCAAATAGAAACTCCAATCCAGGGGGGTCAGAGGACGAGAGTGTCCAGCACAAGGTTTCTATCCACCAGGCTCAGACACACACACTATCCTCACAGTGAATCACAGTGAGAGCAGAAACTCAGGCAGGAAACCTCACCTGTTCTCGATGGAGTCAAAGCTCTCCTCTGGAATCATGGCTCCAAAAAATCCAAGTCTTTAATCCCACTGCGTAAAAAGCGTGATAGTCCGATACTGTGGCTCCCTCAGTGTGTGTGTGTGAGAGTGTGTGTGTGTGTGAGCCCTGGAGTGTGTGCAGCAGTTTGTTGTGAGCAACGTTGCGAAACACGTTTTATACTAGGGTTGAGAAGAGGGCGGGGCCTAAACAACTGCAAATGCAAAAATAAAAAATCAGTAAAATTTGAAATAAAATAAATCCATCGTATCTCCTCTTCACGTGGTTCTGTTGGTTTGGTTACATCAGCGGGGGTTTTACGCAACGCTGCTTCGGTGATTGTGGTTCCTGTGTGACATAACAGCGAGCGACATCTGCTGATTATCAATGGAATGAATCGATTCACATCAAAAGATATTAGAATAAACCGCGTTAGAAACGGGAGTGAAATCTGATCCTCACGTTTTCACAACGGTGAGTCTCCATAACTGAGGAGGACAGCCTTATTATGAGTGTGGCTGACATCTAGTGGCCGACTGAGGGAAAGACAAGGCGGTGTCATCTCACTGTCAAATTTGAATTCCACACTAAGTATATCCGTATTTATTTTGATCTCAAGGTTCTCATGTTTAATTAATAATCTTAAAGTCTTGGTTTAAAGTTACAGAAAGATATGTGATGAATAATTAGATAGATTGGCTAGATGGGTAGTTAAGTAAGTAGGTAGGTAGGTAGGAAGCTAGGTAGGTAAGAAGGTAGGTATAGGTAGGTAGGAAGGTAGGTGGGTAAACTCCTACCTAGATGAATTTCCTGAGAGTGGGAGATTAAGACCTCTTAAAACACAGTGTTGAAATAAAACAGGTTCAGTTAAACATGGAGTCAAACTAAATGGTCATGTTTAGAATTTGTGTAACCTCCTTTGTGTCCTCTCAGGCCTTCACCGCAGCCTCCTCCAGCTCCTGCTTCCTCTTCCCTGCTTCCTCCGTCTGCAGCAGGTGCCGTGCAGCTCAGTCCTAATTGAGATCAGGTGACAGTCGAGGGTTTCCACTTCAGCCTGAGCAGGTCTTTAGTTCCCTTCACAGAATGTTTAGAGTTGGCGTCCTGCATCTTCATGAGATATCCAGTGAGTTGTGATGCATTTCAGAGAATGTGGGTTGACAGAGTGCTCCTGCAAACCTCTGCATTCATCCTGTCGTCTCTGTCAGCAGAGAAATCAACGGTAAGAGCCAGTGTGATCAAACCGTGAGAAAATCATTACCACCGCATTAGATGAGGTGGTGGATTTGGGTCATTTGTTCTCCACACTTTCCTCTTTACGTGATTGTTTTTGTGGTTAGTTTTTCATGAGCTGCAGCCTGAGCTTTCTGTTTCTGAGTTGTTTTTTTTTAACCTTGTGGTTTATCCTCTTCTTATCTCTTATCTTCTCTTATCTCGTTGACTAGGAAACATGTCCGCCTACAACGTGGAGAGTATTTTGGGCATTTTCCACTCATCCATAAATAAGACTTGTGATCTGCAGGCTTGTTTGTTATTTTCTAGTTGTGAGTGCCGTCTTTTGGCAAACCCTCTACTTTCCATAAACTGCAGTTATAGTTTGTTGGAACTTACCCAAAATATAAAACCACACTGGATGTGAAAAGGGCGGCGTGGTGGTAAAGTGTTTAGCCTCTGAAGGCCAGGCTTTCTGTGTGGAGTTTGCATGTTCTTCCCGTGTGTGATAGAATGTTGCACCATCCAAGGTCGACGCCACATCTCACCCAAGGTCGGCTGGGATTGGCTCCAGCCCCCCTGCGACCCTCAAAGGATACGCAGTGCGGATCTGAGCAGACACTTCAACAGTATGATATTACAATAATAATCAAGTCTTGAGCTGCTGCACATTCATCATTTTATTTAATATCCACACGGCTGCATTGACGTAGAATTTGCATTTACGTGACTTTTAACAGGCTTTTTTTTAAAATGGTGATGCACATTCTTTATTCACAGATTACCCCCCCGACCCACAACCTCTCGACATTGTAGAGACAATTACAAATTGACAGCATCACAATCTTCATCCCATCAGTTTTCATCCAAAACACTCTCCTCTGCCTCTGCTTACCCACAGTGCTTTGCTCTCTGTCTTCATGAATATCATGAATGAAACAACACACAGTACATACACAACTTTGCACATGCGGGACACATACATACAGGTACAATTCACTTGGCTACTGTGGGGTTCAAGTTATAGTTACAGAACTAGTTCGACCCTGCGATCCCAGTAAATCAGTTATTGTGTGTGTGTGTGTGTGAGGTTTGCGGGGAATCGTGAGAGTTGTGATGAATCTAAGTCGGACAACATGTGTGAAGAGTTTAATTCCATACACATCATTTGAGAAAGTGATAAAATAGGAAATTGATCGCACAAAATAAGACTAATTGCATTCTTCTGTGTTATAAAAGTGCATTTATATAATTAGAAAATATTAGGACAATTTAGAGTTATTGAAAATGATCTTTTGTCGTGCAGCATTCACACTAAGAGGAGAATGATCAGTAGTGTCGTTTTGTTCTCGTGCTTTGGTATTGAAGAATCTCTGTGTCTGTCATTCACACCAGTGTCAACTTAATTCTTTTAAAGGCAGAACAGCAACAGAGCTAATCATATTTTAACCTGCGAATCTTACACATCTCAACATGTGACGTCCAGAGAGGATTGAAGAGGAAATCGTGTGGTTAAAATGTAATCCATTACATCAGATGTATCTGATTTTTAAAGAGCATTGAGTCTAAATCTATGAAATATGGTCTGAATTTCAGGGAAACTAGTGAGGTGAGAGCATTTAAAGTGCTTTTTATTTCCCTTGAGGAACTCCATCATTTAAACCCAATTAAAAATTGATTTATCATTTATTTATTGTTCTAAAAAACACACTTCTGTATACTTTCATGTACACAGATTTAATATTATAATTAATGTTTGAAATGTGGGAGAATTATTGGAAAATTAGACATGAAACAGTTCAGTGGTTTAGTGTGTTTTTTTTCAATGTCCAGGATTACTTTGCCTCCAATTATATATAACATTTGTTTTATTCATTCTTATTTACAGAGAACATCTTGGAAATCTCTCATTTACATTTACATTCAATTGACTCACCCTCGATTTTACACTGTGCAAATTTGTCGACGGCATACTTGATTGAAGGCTTTGATCATGTCCCTCACATTCACAATTTAAATACATTACATGTCAATAATTTTAACATTTTTAGAATATAAGATAACAAGTCAACACATAACTCTACAAAAGCATTTATAGTCTGATTCCTTGTTAGCATTATTATAAGCACATGTAATGGATTACAATTACGGAACCATTAATTAATAAGATTACTTTTGTAATGCTGTTGAATTAAATCTGGTATTCTAATCCCTGCTGACAGATTTGTCTTTGCACACTAAGATTCAGTAATCTCAGGTTTAGCAGGCGACGATCGCTCACTAGCAGTGGACACGACAACGTCTTTTAAAGCAGGTATGACACACGGCACAGTTCACCTCATGTGTGCTCACAATAAACACCTGGACACTGATTTTTAGAACATAAAATAAATACAAAGCAAGCAATGCTTTAATAAAGTTTGCACACTCTTGTCATTAGGGAAAAATCTTGAGCTGTTTTATTACACATTTTTCTCCTGTTTTTATTCAAGAGCGTGGTCTTTTAATTTGAAAACAGTGCTCATTGATTTCAGATTTTTCAATGCTTTCACTACAAACCCTGCGCTCGCACTCAAATAGCACTTGCTTGTGCTTAGATTTGCTTTGCTTGAGCTCAAACCGTGCGCTTGCACTCAGATTTCAGATGTCCAAAAAATTTTAAAACATTTATTGAGATGCTTGATTTTGTTGCTTCATGTTTACCAGAGATCTGCTGATTGCTGCTCCATGAAGGTGTTGTTGTTTTTTTATCAAGCACACTGACGGGAAGCCAGTGTTATAAAAACTGTAAAGGGTAGGAGTGCATCGACCGTTGATAGCCACCGCGCATACAGGACTCTAAAGTAAATGCATCCACAACAAGGACAGGAATATTTCATTCGTCTGTATTCTATTGGTTGGACATTTTTTATTTTCTGAATAACCTTTTAAATTCCTCTCAGGTGAACTGGTTTAAATCAACTGAATGGGCCCAGAAACATATCACAGGCTCACACATCGTGCCTCTAACCATGTGTATGCTAATAACTTTGACTAATAGATCCTCAGCTTTCGTGGATTTACATGTTTGCAGCTCATCTTGGGCACTGGGTCATTGGTCAAAAACATCATGCAGTTCTCTCCACAGGGACGTTTGTTCTACATGGACAAAGAGAAATAATGGCTCTAATGCAAAAGAAGCCCACAAAGGGGATGGGGGTGAATAGGTTATCTAATTACCCAGTTGTTTTCATGCAGTAAAGAGCCTTATATTTCCTTTATGTCCCCATATGATCTCTGTTTCTATAATAACTCTTTTGACTCCACACTCCCACAAACACATTTGTATCCCTTAGCTCATATTCACCCTCCACCTCTGCGCCTCTCAGCGAGCCTCAGAACTCGATCTTGCAGGCGGGGAAGGTCTCGTCCTGCATGGCGACAGTGCTGTTGGATCCCAGCACGGTGATGCCCAGCTCTTTCTGTCTGTCCTGGGTATGCTGGTACCACTCCTGCATCGGCACGGACTCAAAGGTAGGGATCACCGTCACCTGGGGATACGCAGGAAAAGGCTAAAATGTAACCTCAGTTGTATGTCGATGAATTTCCATGACTCTGCAGTAAACCATGGACACTTAACAGTCGGGATGAATCCAGTTGTTCAAGTGTGTGTCTACCTGCATGGTGTCAGACCAGGATGCCTTTCCATCGAGCAGAGCGTCCAGTGTTTGCCTCATAAGCTCCTCCCTCTCCTGACTGTCGCCGCTGATGATGTAGCAGGAGGAGCGGACACACCTGAAGAAGTCCACGGTGACGGTTGGTGAGGAGGCTCCAGAGGGGATGTACGCCAGGTCCACGTACACACTGGCTTCTCCAACAGAGGCAGCCTTAGAGCCTGGGGTAGAAAACAATGTAAGAGGAGTCAGTGAATACGCTTTAGTCTGCAGAGCTACTACTGTATTTGAGAGCAGAGAGAAAACACCTGTACCTGGACTGGGTGAGGATTTTGCTGGTGCGGAGCGGGTGCTGGATGAAGGCGTACGAGTGGAAGAGACGTTCCCTTTGTTGACTCCACTTTGGATTCCTGTCCTGCTTTTCCCCGAGCCTGATCTGTGGGAACCCTCGACAACCTGGTTACATAAAAAACAGTGTAGACAAGGTGTCGTTTCAGATTTCACTCCACACACATGCCACAAGGATGTCTGCAATAGACTGGTGATGAGCTCAGTGCCACAATAAATAAGTTTATAATTCAACAAATGAATTCCTAAATATACGAATTAACGCACGATATTTATAAAGACATCCTTTTCTTCATTGTCGTAAGACAAACTCACCCCTGGCATCTTTTTCCCTCGCATGCCGCCGGCTTTTGCTCTCTTCCCGTGGGCATCAGAGTCAGACTGAGGAACAGGCATGGAGGTGTCAGGGTGAGGAGGCAGAGGCGGACTGTCCCTGAGCGCGGCAGGGGGAGGGTCGCAGGGCAGAGCCTGACTGGCGCAGAGGTCATGTGGGGAGTTCGTCGGCTCACTACATGACTCGTCCTCATCTGAGTCCAGCGCTCCATCTGCCGTGGTGGACGGGCAGTCCTCTGTACAAAATGGGGCATTTGATTCGCTAGGTGATGTGTCCTTCATGTTGTTATTGTTGTTGCCATAATGATGCGAAGTGAAGGCTCCTCTGGGCGGTTCACTGGCTGCCGAGCTGGAGTCGGGAGGTTTGAAATGCTTGAACTCACAAGGAGAAACCAGACAAAGATCTACGTCGTGAGGTGATGCCTCAAAATGAAGCGTGCCAGGAGCCTGAGGTCGCCCCATCTCTGAACCTTGCCCCAAAGATCTGGGCGGCTTCTTCATTGGTAAAGACATCCCAGCAAAATGGGCTCCGTTGGAGTGGGAGTGATGAATGCTGTCCTCCCCTTCTCTCTGGCTCACGTTGGTTGGTCCCTGCTCAAAAGACATGGACAGTGACTCATCTACTTCAGTGGACTGAGGTGAGCTCACCTCTGCTGGCATGGAGTGTGTAGTGGTGGTGGTGGTGGTTGTGGTGGCCAGAGAGGGAGACGGGTCTGAAGATCCATCTTTAAAAGTCCCCAAAGAAAGGAAACTGAGATGCTTCTCCCTGGGGTTTGTGTGGCTTTCTGGGGGGTTTTTGTTCTGGGACAGCTGCCCCTCACTTTGTCTGGTCAATCCACTCGGCTGGTTGACCTCACCGGACTCTGAGTTTCCCATCTGGGCCTGTAACCTGCTGAGAGTGGCCTTGTTGCACCACACGTCATCTGGGGAGAGACAGTACGGAGTGTGCCCTGCGCTGTTGGGCCGTGAGTCAGGGGAGGCCGGCTCCACAGTCTCCTCATCAAGGCTGACGGGGGCCTGGTTCTCTGGAGAGGATCTGGAGGGAGGGCTGTGTTTCAAAGCGCCGTCTAGGAGAGTGTACTCAGTCGGAGTTAGGTCTAACTGGACGTCGTGCTCGTTCTCTGATGCGTTGTTTAAGGGTGATGGAAATCCCACAACTTTTGCAGGTTTGGAAGTGTTTCCAGAACCTCTCTGCAAGTCTGCACCAGCTTTCTCTCCAGTCGCAGCCTTAGCTTGCACTTCATTATCACCACCTGCTTCATCTTCTTCAGCCACCTTACTTGTCTCTTTGCCTCCCAGGCCCTTTTCATTTCCTGACTCACTGCTCCTCTGCTTTGCTTCATCCAGTCCTTCCTCCTGCAGCTTGAGAAAATCAGCAGTCATGTCCTCGGGGGTAGACGTTTTCGACCCGCAGGGATTCACTTCAGTTTCTGTTGCCTCTTTTTGATTCTGCTGCTCAGTAGGAGGCATCTCAGGCTCTGGGATTTCCATCCCAGTCCCAGCATTGGGCTTTGTTGAGTTGTTATTCGGCAGTTCAGTGTTTACATGTGTCTTCTTGCCATCGTTTGCCTCCTTTCCTGATGGTTTTCTTGTTTTCTTCGCTCCTGTTTTAGAGTCATTTTTTGCTTCCTTTTTGAGCTTAGTTTTATTTTCATTCTTTGGTTTGGATGGGAGACTTTCTTTTTTCACCTGATCATGCTTCGTTACGCCATTCTCTTCTCTATTGCCGGTCTTCTCCTCTCTTTTCCCATCCCTCCCTCCTCCTTTCTTTGACATATTCTTCTCTGATGTTGGTACTTTTTGCTTTACACCCACTTCTTTGATTTTGGTTTTATCAGGATCCCTTGCACCAACTCCATTTAAACCTTTTCCCTTTTCCTTTACCATGACCTCATCTTTAACCCCTTTCTCTTTCCCATGTTTTGATGTTGTGTCTTTCCCTTGTGACTTGCAACTATCTTGGCTGTCCATCCTCTTGTTCTTTCCGTCTTCACCCAGCCTCTCCAGGTCCCCGGTTGTCACAGTTGGTTTTCGGAGGAAGGCCAGACCCTTCAGCTTCTCCAGCCCCTGCAGCAGCTTCGCCTGGGGCGTAACACCGGGGAACAGCACCCTGACAACCTTCTCTTGAGGGCACGCTGGGTGCCACACAAGCAGAGCGGACACGGAGGCCAGGGCTGTGAGAGGGAGATCTTGAGATTTGGATGCTGATGAGGAGTCAGGCCAGTTCTGCATGAATGTCTGGTACTCCTGGCTGTTTTTACCAGGACTGAGGAGGTACAAGTCCAGTTGTCCCACTCCCATCTTCTGAAACAGGGTCAGTGGCTCGAAGGGGACTGCCTGTGGTCGAAACATTGGTTGTGGTCTGATGTCTAACTTCTTTAATAACTGTAAAGTTAGGGCGGCCTGCTGTGTGCTCTTCAAGACATTGTCCACACCTGACAGGAGGAGATTGACAAAAATATGAAATACATATTTCATGCATATTAAAAATATTAACGCAAATGTTTATGATTGTTTTTATACATATCTGATTAACAAGAGGGTTTTGAGTTCATATTCCCTGTTACGTTATGTCTTGTTTACTTCTACATTATACTGCAGTATAGGTTCCTCTCACTCACAAGGCTGTTGCTCCATCTGCAGCCTGCTGGGGGCATTAAAGAACACTACTCCAAGCTCTGGGGAGATCAGCCTCTTCGACAAGTCCTCTGCTGAAATAAAACAACATCAACACGCACAGAGACACACAAACATTTAGAAAGTTTAACATGAAACTGCTTAAGATTTCCTCATTACATCATCCTTCTTCAGGACCATGATCAACAGAACCATCTGACCTTTGACATCAGAACTCAGCTCCAGCTCGGCCACCTTCCTCTCCAGGAAGGTGTTGACCCCCGGCAGGTTCTCTGTCCCGATGTGCGTCAACAAAACAGCATCAACACGGTCCAGGTGGCGGACCAGTTTCCAGAAGCAGGCCTGTGTGTCCGAACCGCCGTCCAACAGCACCGTGAAGCCGTTAACGGCAAAGAAGGCACAGTCGCCTCGGCCGGCAGGAAAGACATAGCAGCAGGGGCGGGACAGCTTGAGGAAACCAACTGTGATGGGAGGAGGCAGGAGGTCAAAGCTGGACAGAGGGCAAAGGGTCCCAGAGATGAGGGAGGTGAAGTCCCCTAGGGCCTCCATGGCAGGCAGCACCTCTGGGGGATTAATGTGGAGCATGAACGGACGCTCCTGAGGCTGGTTCCCCAAGAGAGTCTTCCTCCACTCGCCGATGTTGGGACAGCTGAGGGTCAGGCTGAGCTTAGAGGAGGAGGAGGCATTGAGAAACTGAAAACAGAAACAACAGCCAATAGTTCTTTTTTAGTCCACATTGACTGGCTGAGTATTATTCACAATTATGTTATCTTATTGTGTGAATACTTATATTAGGATATTGTGTTCATAAGAAAGAAAAGAAAAGCAAACACAACAAAAAGATATGCTTGTCTCCCACTCAGAACATATCTTCATTTTGATTCTTTAAAAAACTCATTTGAAAGTTTGATTTTCATTTGTGATGTGTTTTTCTGAGAAAAAAAGATTTAGATTTTGGGGGATGTGGGTCGGCACAGTGGTCCAGTGTTTAGCACTGAGTTTGCATGATCTCCTTGTGTCTTTGTGGGTTTTCTTCCAGTGCTACAGCTTCCTTCCACAGTCCTCACTCTAAAGTGCCTGCAGGTGTGAATATGAGAGTAAATGGATGTGTCAGCCCTGTGATGGACTGACACGACTATACCCCACAGCTGGGCTAGCTCCCCAAAGTACAAGCAGTTTAGATAATGGGTGGATGTTTTTCCTCTATTTTCATCTACAAAACCAAGGTAAATAAGCGGCAAATGATTAATTTGTCTTGTACTTGCATTGTTAAAATAAACCAAAATTTGTATTGATCAATAATAGAAGTAACATTATATAACAGTTTGATGCAGAAATATAAAAATGGGGAGGGATGTGTCACCTGCTCTGTCAGTATTTGTTTCAGCTGGTTTGGTGAAAACAATCCTCTGTGAAACAGCAGGTCTCCACTTTCCTCCACGCTCTGTCCACACAGGATCAAGAGCTTCTGAGCCGATTCCCTCGACAGCAGAGAAAACACCTGAGCAGACGAGAGAGAGAAGGTCACATGTGTTGTTTACTGTAATATTTTCACTGCACAGCCTCTTACAACCAAAAGTCAAAGAACAACAGCAGAGCAAAATGAAAGAATATGGGTAAAAAAATTAATCTTTTTGTTGTTGAAAATATATTTTAAATAAGACTCGTGTATAATTGATTTTAGAGCTGAAATGAAAAGTAAAACATGTTTAGATTATTCACATATCTTATGGAAGAGCTTCTGAAATATGAGTATTTTCTACTTTCTGTCTTCATAACTTTTATGTCTTTGAGGTTTGATGCTTTAAATACACACACAATAAGCAGTTTTAAGAAGTTACCTTCACATTGCTTCTGTAATTTTCATTACACGTTTATGTTCCCTCCTTTGTTTCAGGATTTAAATTGGAAAAATACAATTACTTTATTTTTTTCCCCATTTTAAATAGGGCTAAAAATGGTCAAATCAAAATAATTGCACAGCTGTATCATTGTGCTTTTAACTCGGTCAACTGTGCTCTCACCTCTGAATGAACCTGCTCCTGAGACGGACTGATGAGCACCTGAGTGTCCAACACTTTGGTGCCGTGCCGCAGACACTTCTGTCCTGAGGAGGCAGAGAGAAAACAACAGATGGAAGGAGAGGGTCAGACGAGCGAGGGACAGAGTCCTGCTGAGGGAGTCAAAGGAAACCATGCAGGTAAAACAGAGAGTGAAGTGCGGCAACCGGGCGGCTGTTTGACTTGCTAAGTGAAAAAGGAGGAAGGGAGGGAGAGTCGAAGAGCTGAGTCGGAGGGACTGTCTGAGGACAAGATGCCAAGTTCACTCAGTCTGCAGTGAGGATCCAGTCTGAGAGGAAGTGGATGAACGGACGAGGACACAGAGGCGAACGCAGCCAACTGGAAAATAATGACCCAAATACGAGCAAAGGTTTCGTTATCTTTAACTCAAGTTAGAAACAAAAGAGAGAAGCAAAATACATCACTTTCTATTGCAGTGAATTAGGTTCTTCACATATCTGTGCTTTGCAAATTTGATCCACTTAATATGAAGCTACATCCAGATAAACAGGAGTTAATCCCCACCTACTAGTATCTGTGAAGATCATTCGTTAAGACACCATATTTTCTCTTTTAACTATCAGCATATACAGTATATATATATATATATATCATCTAGATCTCCCCCTAGTGGCTGGCACAGTGTAGGTCATAAACCCCACCTCCACCACGTTATCAAATGGGACATGGATCAAGGTGAAAGGTCAAATACACTTAGCATTGTAGTAGTTCTTATCACAATGGTGTTTGTTGGATTGTTTTTGATGCTATAAAAACCAGCTCATCATCATGATTGACAGCAGAGACTGACTCACGATTGGTCGCCTGTGCATATGGGCGGGATCTCAACAGTGCAAGATGGCAGCACCCATATCCAGAATATTATTGATAGAAGAAATGAAACTACAGGGAATCAAACACATATCAAACCCCCGAGAAAATCACGTTAGCACTTATCAGAAGAACCTCAGTTTATCTACCACAGAACAGACTCTACTCGGCTGCTGTTTTGTCCTCTGTAGAGTCCTCTTTTCTTGTTTGTGTTTGTCACCGATACTTCACAGCTGAGCTCTAACACGACTGTCTGTCGGCCTTTTCACCATTTTCCCTGCTCGTCCTTGACTCTGCATACTAACAGAGAGAGAGAGAGAGAGAGAGAGAGGGAGAGAGAGAGAGGGAGAGGTGGCACAGCTTGGACACTATTGTTTTCTGTCCATAGGGCCCACCCATGTTAAACAATCATCCAACTGCTCCTCCACTTTCCTTCCTTCCTCCGCTGTCGACCCCCCCGACCCGCCGAGCTGGCTGGTTACCACAGAGACGGGGCTTTCTGTGAGGTCGGAGAGTTCGGGGTTGGAAGAATCACACACAGTTTCTTACCTGTACCCTTGAATGACGCCGTGTGATGGGACAGGAACTCTTGGAGATGGAGGTTCAGGTTACAGGATTTTAAATCAATGTCCCAGGACCGGATACCTGCAGACGTGAGAGACATTAGATCAAATGCTGCAGTGAGGTATAAACAAAAGAGCTATATGCAGATTTATGTGTTGTAGGTTATGTTTTGCAAATAGCACATAAAATACTACTGCTGCCAGTCCATATAGACTTATAGACATAATTCATATGCTAAAAACCACAATATTAACAATGTTTGACCATCTTCTTGTCCTATTCGTACGTTTTGTTTTGTCGTGTATAGAAATAAAATGTTCTTTTGACTTACTCGGTACAAATACAGGTTCATATATGTTTCCTTTAATGCAGTCAACAGCCATCTCTACAAAAACAACTGACTATAAGATAGAAAATCATGACAATGAAAAACAACAACATAGTGAAAATCTATTCACTGATTATTCATTTTACAGATTGACTAAAGAAAAAAGGAATCAAAGCTGCATTAGAAACAGTGAAAAAGATGAAAACATGGCTGTTTGTCTGAGCTCATTAAAAGTTGATGATATACTGGTGGTGAGTGGTTTTCATGGTTTAGTGCTGGGACCAGTGGGAATGATAAATACATTTATTTCTCTATTTCTCACTCACATCAATCATTTTGTTTCACGTTCAGTTTGCTAGTATCAAAGCCATTTTGAATAGATTATGATCTGAAATGTCCCATCGTCATACATCCTTGTACATGTATGGGACTCTCAGATTATAACGCATTCTTACAGCATCATGCCTTTCCGCCTGTGTACCCACTGTCTCTTTATGACACATCGTTCACAAGTCGATATGTGTTGACTGAACATCCGCCCTGCAACATTTCACTAAAAGCTTCTCCATAAAACGATAAGTGATGCGAAAGCAGCTCCTGCAGGCTGCTTTTAATTATAACGCGTCCACAGGGAGCAGCAGCAGCAGGAGGAGGAGGAGGCGGAGGAGAAGGTGATGTTGATGGTGGAGCATCTCCAGATGACGCATCCTCGGTCAGTGGGGTAGATAAAATCACATTTATACACTGCAACGGGGTCAGTGTCACATCCTCGCTGATGAGAGGTCTGCATCTGATTTGTTTCCTCCATTCAATATTACGCGCAGTGGCTGTGAGAGGCGGATTGTAATGCACGTACCTCGTTGAATCTCCCCGCTGATGAGCGCCTGTGTGTGTCCGAGGTGGGCAGCGGTGCGTCCGACGATGATGAGCACGGAGTATTTGTGCGGGCAGAAGTCGAGGTTTGCGGTGCAGGCTGCGCGCCTCGGCTCCTCCCGGACCTCCCTCCCCAGCACCCGGCTGGACGCCATGTTGGAAACTTGCGTTGGGATATGATGTCATTGAATAGAAGAAAAAAAAAAACCTGACAGCGCCTTTTCTGATTACAGGGAGATGACAGCTGATGTGCTGGAATGCAGCCGTGCTTTAGGAAATGTGAAGGGAGACGCTGAATTATTGATGACGCACGGAAAAGGGGATCAATATGGTTGATTTCATTGGCTTCTTATAAGTGGTGCAGAGTGACCATTGTAATCAAAAGCAAATTACCAACAAGTGATGGCCATGCAATTATCTACACGATATTACAGCTGACATAAGGCGAGCGTGTGGTTTAAAAACCAAAAAAGAATCTGTCTTCATAATACTACACATTTGTAAAGTGTATCTTTCTTGAACATGCGCACAGACACATCCGTGAATCCAAAAGTTACGTTATTGGCTTTATTGTGAAAAATGTTTCCAGAGCCGTAAATTTATCACCATACACAACTACAACCAAAAACTACATTTTGACCAAAACAAAGATTTGTGACAAACAATCACAAGATGCCACAGTCCCACACAAATAACTTCCTCATCCCCCGATCACAAAGTCTGAGAAAACACAAAGACAGACACAGAACATTGAACATGCTCAAAAAATTGTATCGGACGAAGTTTATAAAAGAAAAACATCCTTTATTAATGACATGCAGTACTACATCTCTTTTTTCTTATCATCACAAGGAGAATGGCAACCGTTGCAGCCATATCTCACATTAAGGAGGGGACACCTTCTTGTTCTGACCCCAAACCCCTGCACTCTCTCCCGCCATCTCTTGGTTTCTTGTTTGCTTCTTTCACAAACATTTCAGAACATAGAAGTTGCAGGAAGTCCCCCGGGGACAGCTGCACAGGGTGCCAATACGCGCGCCTTTACGCACGGCACATGGCTCCCCTGCGTCACACTGGGAAGACAAAAACAACATCGATACAGGAAAATTACATTTTTGAAGATCATGACCTAAGAAAATATGTTTTTAAAGTCATTTTTGCATCTCAATCCAAAAGTACTTCGCCCAGATACAAAGTCATCAAAGTTCAATGGCTGACTGAACGAATCCTTAGTCCTCTCCAAAATGTTTCTAGCCTGACGTGTTTCTAAATAACAATAATGCCACTAAGAAAAGACAATAATCCAAAGAAGTAACTGAAACAGATTCACAGAGCTGAAAATGATCATATTTAAAGCTGATTCAATATCATTTCTTTGTTTACTTACCGAGGGCAGCCAGCCAAGCTTTTTCTCAGAGGGCATCTCCTTACTCCTCAGCTTCTCCAGCACTTCTTGCAACGCGTCAATCTACACAGGGATACGGTATTTAGTTTTGAGAAAGAAACCATGCTTTTAAAACTCAACACGATGTGACCCCTGTGAGGAGAACAGACATGCTGGGTATAGATCTTCGATGCCTGTGCTATAAGATAAGTTGTATGAACAATCTAATGTTTCATGAATCCATCTGAAACCCTTTCACATGTCCCATGTCTCTCACCAGGTCTTTCTCCTGTTGTCTTTTTGGCGAGAAATCCAACGAGCGCGTCTCGAGTGAAGAGTCTCCCTCCGCACGAGCGAGCCACAGGTACGCGCAGCAGCAGGTGACCGCGAGGAGGAGAGCTCGTGCGCTGACCATGGTGCTGAAACACAGGCAGGAGGAGGAAGAGGAGGAGGAAGGGTCCTTGTCTTCAGCAGGTGGAGGGTCTGGAGGGTCTCCTGGACAGAGATCCCCCTCTTTATAGCTGCTGCTCCAGTGCTGTTGACATCAGCCGGCCTCTGAAATATTCATGGAGACTCTGACATGGGTGACACCACTCAGCACCTTTGTATCTTCAACAGGAAGGTGGTTAGATGTGGGTTTACATTTGACAAAACATATTTGACCAAGTATAGTTGTTTGATTTAAAAATCATTTCCCACTCATCTTTTGTTCTCGCTTCCGATCTTTTTAAGTTGAGCCATAGAATAAAATATCAAGTTTCAATCAAGTTTGAAATCAGAAAAATTGGTATTTTCTTTCAATATTAAATTAAATGACTAATTGTTTGCAAAACAACCATTTCAGTTACACATGTATCTGACTCACTGATGAGTCATTTCGCTGTGTCAGAAATCACCACACACAGCGAAGAAAAGAACCACCCAATAAAAAGTGAATCAGATTAAGAAATAGACTAATCTAGAAAATCCACATCGTGGGGAGGGGGTGCCTTGTATAAATGCAGATTCCTCCCTTCTTTGTTTAGCTGCTAATCTTTTCTGTCCATCTTCTTGTGTCACCTCTGTTCAATAAAGCATAAATCAGACCTGCAGGTTGACCCACACTGACATCAATCTACAATCAGGATCCAATTTCCTTTCATTGGAATAACCTTTAGGACCCCCTAAGCAATGTGTGTGTGTGTGTGTGTGTGTGTGTCTGACTATGAGAGACCATACGTCAGTGGCAAGTCATGTTACCCCTGAGGGACCATTACTCCATCATTTGGTCATGATCTCCTCCACTGTCTCATGGGGTGAAAAAGCTAATATCAGTAGAACAGAGGTAATTACAAAAAGCTTCTTGCCCCTCCAGTGATATGCAATGAAATATGTTAAGGTGTAATTTCAGGCTGATTTAGTTTGACACCATTTTAACTTTTGTTTGCCTGTACATAACATAACACCAATAAACATGCTGCTAAGCTGGTGGAACAGTCATGGATTGTTTGGTTCAGGCACAAAAGAGAAAGACTGTGGTTGAGATTAAAAATAAATGTGTTAGTTGACATGGTTACAGGAGTGTTTGAAGTTGGGGCGAGGGGCCATTCCCTTGAAATCAACAGCTTTAAAACTATGATTGAAATGACATATAAAGCATGACTTGTTTCTTCTGATCATGCCTGATAGCAGTTTGCAGATGCTTTATTTACAGCTGCATGCTGCACACATGATGACACTGGCTAAATGGTTTTCATCTTCGGCCAGGTGTTGGAGAAGTGCACACAGGATTCCAAGATGGAGATGGAGGTTTTACAGAATCTCCAGGAGCTGAAGGAGCTGAACCAGAGGCAGGCTCCGGTGGACTTCGAGGGAATGATCAGCCAGTACAGAGAGCTGGAGAAGAGAGGGAGGGAATATAAGTAGTTTTCCAGCCTTCTTAAGACTGCATGGCCACTACACCACTAGTTTAAGTAGGTCAGCATTGTTTACTCACATAATTCAATCATAGGATATTTCAGAATACAGCTTCAACAGAATATTTATTTTTCCTTCACCTGTTGTCTTTTTCAAGCCTAAAAAAAAATTATATGACAGGTTGAAAACATAATTTAATTTAAAATATGTTGTTGTGAGTTATCGTCGCTTCTGCAGCAGCGGAACATTCTTACTTTGAACTACTTTTACAGCCGGACGCTAAAAAAAAGACACGGATAAGCGGAAGTTGCCTAGTGGTCCACTTCCTGCTGGATTAGCTCTCGGCGCAGTTCCTCCTCTGTTTCTCTCTCGTCGTTTGGTTTCTAGCAAAAGCAACAATGTCCGAAAGAAAAGTGTTGAATGTAAGTACAGGCTCCACCGTGTGTTGTCGTGTGAAGAACTGTGAGAGTACAGTTAGCTGTTAGCTGTGAAGCTCTGAGGCTAAGTGTGCTGTAGCTAACAGTAACTGTATCTGTTCACATCAGACCTTAAAGTACATTAAGAGTTTGCTCTGAATTTTAAAAATGCTTTGTCGCTATCGACATCGGTTTGTGTAATTGTCTGTTGTTTAGTAATTACAAGATTCCCAGTGTCTTATATTTGTGTTTTGTCCTCCACAGAAATACTACCCTCCGGATTTCGATCCGTCCAAAATCCCAAAGCTCAAACTCCCCAAGGATCGACAGTATGTGGTGAGATTGATGGCTCCATTCAATATGAGGTAAGTCTGTCAGCAACAGTGTTACTCATCTGTACATCATCATCATCTCCATAAACAACAACAACAACAACAGCAGCAGCAGGTTTAAATTTGCACACAACCGTTCCTATAACTTCACCAGTCAGTACTTACGATTGGAAAACTATGTCGTGGGGATTTCATTTGTAAACAAGTCTGTACGGTCTTGTTGCTCATTGGTCAACACACAGAGACATTTGAAATTAGTCACTTATACTTTGCGTGCTGAGATATTTTCACAAAGACACTCAGGCACTCCATTAAAGAACATATTAAAGTGAGAACAGCCTCAATACATAAATTAAGTTTTTGCTAGTTTGCTAGTTTCATTGCGAGACAAAAGAGTCGCTTTGATTTTAGTTGTATTTACAGTTCGAACAGGGCAAGCTCTTAGCGAAGAGGACTTTCTGATTCTATAAATGAGTCCTCAAGGTTCAATCTGGTTGTTTGCAGGTGTAAAACATGTGGCGAGTACATCTACAAGGGGAAGAAGTTCAATGCACGCAAAGAGACGATTCAGAATGAGCTGTACATGGGACTGCCAATCTTCCGTTTCTACATCAAATGTACTCGGTGTCTTGCTGAGATTACTTTTAAGGTACATTTTTAATTTCTTATCATTAAGTATTTTACTGAAAGCAGACAAAACAAGCACTTTGGTCGTGACATCTTCAGCATAAAATAGTGTCTTGCATTCCCATATCTCTCGTAGACTGATCCAGTAAACACAGATTACGCTATGGAGCATGGTGCAACACGTAACTTCCAAGCAGAGAAACTAATTGAGGAGGAGGAGAAGAGAATCCAGCAGGAGAGAGAAGAGGAGGAACTCAACAACCCCATGAAGGTCGGTGCATAAACATCAGCCTTTTATTGTGTTATTGGGCAGCATTCAGGCATTTGCCATGAGATGCTTAATGATTTCCATCTTCGGCCAGGTGTTGGAGAACCGCACAAAGGATTCAAAGATGGAGATGGAGGTTTTAGAGAATCTCCAGGAGTTGAAGGAGCTGAACCAGAGGCAGGCTCAGGTGGACTTCGAGGGAATGATCGGCCAGTACAGACAACTGGAGAAGAGGGAGAGGGAACGGGAGAAAGAAGAGGATGAGCAAGAAACCAAGTTAGTGTGTAAGGTTGAAAAAGACAATGGGCAGTAAAGAAAATGTAAAACTTTAATATTTTAAGTCTATTCCATAATTGAATAAATATAAGTAGTTTGCCTTCGTTCTTAAGACTACATGATCTCCTATTGACCTGATCTCTGCCCATGTCTTGATATGTTTTGTCGCATTCATTCTTATGAACAAAGAACTGATTTCAGAAATTGTTTCTCAGGGACATGTTGGAGCGAGCCCTCGTGAAAAGACTGAGAGATTCTGACTCTGACTCGGAGAAAGAAGAAGAGGAGAGCAGTGGCTCGCAGTCAAACAAGTCCAGCGCGGACAAACCAACTGACATCCTCACCACTTACAAACCCACAGAGACACAGGTTTGTATGGCCACTCACATAAAAACAGTAGATGTGTCAGTAGTGTGGAATTACCAGCTTTGTAGTTACAAGTGTAACATGTGTTATGAAGATGCAGCTAAATAGAAAAGCTGTGAATATTAGATTGTCTCATGCTGTGTTTCTACAGGGAGCCTCAGCTGGAGGGGTGAAGAAAGCCAAGCTGGAGAGCTGGGAGAAGAGTGTGGGGACACTGGGTGGTGTAAAAGCTCTGGGGTCCCTGGTGGTGCGAAAGAAACCAACAGCAGCTGTCAACAAACCCAGTCCAGTGGTGGCTACTGCTGCTCCATCGTCACAAACAGGTAACACATCAGGTTCTCAGTTTATGACATGAGCTCATGGATACTATTAATGAGAAATTAATTAAAGCAGAAATTAATTAATGAGATACTATTCATGAGAAATCTGAGACATTATTTGATTTGTTTGCTTTATGTCCTCACCATCGTATGATTTCAAAATCTCTTTTATTCTTTTATCTTGTTTTACAGATTCACAGGCATCGAAGACGGCTGAGTCTCCAAATGCTTCAAAGCCAGTAACCACGCAAAATAGCTCTTCGTCTCTCAGCCTGCTGGGGGCGTATTCAGACAGTGACAGCAATGACAGCGACTGAGCGGAAGATTACTTGAGTGATTGACACACAATTATATGAGTGACGCAGAAATGAATGCGATGATATGGACTTCTTTGTACTTCACAAAATTGTGTTAAACCAGTTTATAGGTCTACCCCATGAAAACTTTTCTGTAAAGAAGTGACTGATGGACTGTCAGGAACAGAAATTGTATTGTCTGTTGTCAAAATCCAGTGAAACCAAAATAATCTTCCGCAGCAGATCCACTTGTTTATTGACCTGTTTTTGTTGAGAATTTTACCTATTAAAAAAAAAAAGTCAGTTTTTAATGTTTATTAAAATCTGTTTAACTGTAACAGTTTAGTTCTTGTAATATTTTTTACATTTTGCCACACCTCAACATTCTGACTTACTTAATGTGAAGTGATGATTCTATGATCTCCTGGTTATTCACCATCAAATGTAGGTCATAACAACAGGAAAATTAAATATTACCTACAAGCCTTTGGGTGCTGAAAAGGGTGAAATGAGCTTCTGTAAAAGCAGTGGCAGTGTTTCATATAATTAATATTGTAATTTTATGTAATTCATCATAAGCCCTGAGGACAGAGTGGTTCTCATCATGTTTGTTTTTCAGCTGGGGGAAATACAGGTGTTTTGTTCAAGTTATTCAACCATTATCTATTCTAGTGATCCTTTTCTTTGCTTAGAATTAACTGCAGATCCACAAACGTTTTATGCTATGTCCAGATCATATTGCTTTATTAGATGCAGTCTGTAGATGTTGATATTTTGCAGTATTTTTTTTATCTAAACATTAATTTATTTAACCAACATTTTCACTAAAAACTGTGAAATTAAATTGTTGTATTTGACAATAGAAAAACAGTATTTCTCAGCCCACCAACAACTCTTTATTAAAACAAATCCTTTAAATCAGAACAACTTAGCAATTCAAAATAATGACTTAGAGATGATGAATGTGTGAATTGTTGTTTTCTTTACCCTAGAATGGACTTTTATATTTAAATACTTTAAAATTACATCGGGAGCAGGTCCTCTCTACATCTTGATTTACCATCTCATGATCCTGGTTTACCATCTGATTATTTCATAATTCAAATTTAATATCTGACATTCTAGATGTATTTAACATTGTTTCACTATGATCATTTCGATTTATTATCTTATAATAAGTACTTTTAATTCAGCAGCACCCATCCTGGTTTTCTTTCACTGGCAGAAATAAAACATAAACTGGAGAAATAGATTAATCAGTGAATAAGTAATGATAATAAGTGTGTAAACGTTCCTGAAACTACATGTTATATAGATTTACATCATGTTTACATGTGAGGAGCAGACTCATGTGGCCCCACATTTAAAGTCGACCCAGCAACAAAACACCGTCCACTCCCCTTTAAGGCAGCCGGAGACTGTTGTGTCGGGGACGGTGTGACTCTGCCCCGCGGCCCGCTGCTCTGCTCCGGTCCGGCTAACGTTAGCTGCCCGACCGATTTCACGGACAACGATGTCTTGTCTCCGGGGCCCGGTAACGTCGAACGGAAACACCGGATGGTAGAACCCGAAGAAAACACAACAGCCGTCAATGCAGAGAAAGAGGGTGAGCTCAGGACGCGTCGACGTTAGCTTCACTTAGCCAACTTAGCTTCGGCACATTCACACATGAGCTATCGTCCATTCTGCGGATTTGCACCACGTCTTCTTCTCGCGTGGGAAACACAACTGTACGATTATTCTCACACGTTCGTCTCGTCATGTTTAATTCAGAATCAAACGCTTTAATTAACTGGTAAGATTAACTAATTGATTGAACCCCCCCCCCTCAGATTTACCCGAGATGCTAACTAGCAATTGTTAAATGGTTGCTGTGATTTGCGGGAATCGATCGAAATCACACCGTCCGCTTTCCCCCAGGGTCAAAACTGTAATAGTTATAAACGTGGGAGTATTTTCTCTGGACCTGTTGATTAATCTTTCATGGTCAATGTGTGTCAACCAGTGTGGGCTAACTAATGCTAACTAGGGCTAACTAATGCAAACAAAAGCACTGAGTACAACTCCCAGCTGCTGCTGTGCTATCAGGCTACCAAGCTAACCGGAGATTAATAACTCACAGTTTATTCTTTCAAACCAGACAAAAAGCCAGTGTTTAATTAATGAAATTATAAATATATGTTCATATTCTGTCTGTTTAATACAGTGGTTCATGTATAATCCATCCACTGTATTGTTTTTCTTGTTTTTACACTGTACATATTAGTTTTTATTCCATCCACATTTTCCTATATTTTTAAAATATGCTTACACTCAAGTATTGCATGTAAATATTACTTACTGGTGTCTGTGGTTGACTCCTGCTGCTGGAATATTACAAATTTCCCCCATGCGGGACTAATAAAGGATTATTTTATCTGATCTTATTTCATCTAGTAAGATTGTTCCATCAGACCACACAAAGCTGCAGCGGCCACTATCACACCTTCTAATCCATGATTCAATAAAGAACTGCTCCACATATTGTACATTATACATTACAAAGATTGGACAAATTACACAATTACAGCCATATTCCCTATCTTCATATTGCACATAGTAGAACAGATTTGTATGAATGTCTTTCTAGATACCCCAACAATAAATCATTATAATATACATGAATAATTAAAGAAAAACCAAGCATTAAAAACACATCAGGGAACACAAACAACTATCAATACAATATATATGTAACGCAAGAATACTAGTAATCAGGTTAACAGACAGAGACACCGAACAGTACATCATCATATGTGATGACAAGTGTGAAATTGGATTAGTGAAGGATAGATAAGATGGTTTGTATGGTAGACTGATTTAAACAGATGTGTTTATGGGCCATAAATAGCAGAAATGATGATAATTAATGATGGAATAAAAATAGTAAATTGGCAAACTTTAGTTTCTCTGACTCAATGCAGTTGATTTTTTTATGTGTCATCCCCAGATCCATGGCAAAGTGGCTGAAGGACTACCTAAACTTTGGCAGCAGGCGTGACCCTCCACAGCCCCCGAGGCCAGATTACACTGAGAGTGAGATCTTGAGGGCTTACCGAGCTCAGAAAGAACTCGATTTCGAGGACCCATACCAGCATTCGGATAAGGAGCAGCAGAATGGCGGTTTCAGCTCCTGCAGTGCCACGATGAGCCTTCCCTCTTTCCCTGCGTTTGGTTCAGTGCTGCCTAATGGTGTGGAGGTATGACCTGCTGTCACTGATATCAAGATGGATGCATTTCCTTTTTTAGATGTTAAATACTGAGCTCATATTTATCACTCCTAGAGCTCATGTTCCAGATTATTAGTTTGGATTGTTATTGAAAGTGTTTTGTTTCCATATGTTACATTACAGGTGAAAGTGGTTTCTCCTAAACACAGACTCATTAAAGTGGACTCTCAGGAGTTTGGTCGCTGTAAAATCCCCTTGAGTCCTGTGACAGTTCAAGAAGAACCAGTAAGCGTTCTTTTTCTCCTCTGATTCATTTTCTTTGCTGGGTTTTTCCTTTTTGTCCTCTTCTTCTCTGCTCTTTATCTAAATTTCTCACACTGTCACATTTCCAGCTCTTCCTCCCCATTTTATCGTTAAATGCCTTTTGTTTCTCTCTCTCCCAAGGTGGTTCCCTCTGCCCCAGCAGCTTCGGACACTGACACTGACTACTCGGACCCATTTGATGCCCGTCCAGACCCAAGAGTGAGACCAACCTGGGAGCCCAAACCTGCACCCACAGACTGCTGCAGCTACATGGAGCCGTTCGAGGCCCAGCGGATCATCTCAGGTTTATCATAAGCTCTTAATCTCCCACTGGGCAGTTCACTTCTACATTAAAATGTATTATTTATACAAAGGGACCAAGGTAACATATTTTTAACTAGGAAGTCATTTGATCTGTATGTTTTCTTTATAGAACTTCAGCACAGCGGAATGAGTAACAGATCTGGAGGTGGAGATCCTGGTCAGTTGTATGATAACCCATACGAGGAGAGGACTCGTCACCACCACCGCGCTGCTCCACCAGCACAGCAGCAAACTCAGAAAGTTGAGGGCGGACTGGGCCTGATAGACAGCAGGGAGAGCAGGCTCCCACAGGATGATGAGAGGCCGGCTGATGAATATGACCAGCCCTGGGAATGGAAGAAGGACAACATCTCTAAAGCTCTAGCAGGTACATTTTCCTTCTTGATGTTTATGTCCCTGTTCCTGACTCATAAACTATTTATTTTTTAAAACTAAGCCACTGCATCTCTCTTTCTGGCCACAGTTCAGTTTGAAGGGGCAGAAAGGGAGCGATCGCAAACCAGGCTCACAAAGACGGGAACCACCTCAACCACAGCCGAGTCAACTACGCTCCGTTTGGCTGGTGACACCCCTCCTCTCCTGGGAGAGAGAGTGGATCCGTTTCTGCCTCTGGAGAGACAAGTGTAAGTCGACATGTTCAACAACTCCATTGGGATAGATAGGATTTTTTTTTTTTTTTTTTACATCTGGACATTTGAGCGTCCAATGTAAATCACTGATTGTCTGTAGATCAAACAAAGTGTATTCTCCTCAGAGAGCATGAAGTCACTGCTTCAGTTTATTATTTTTCCAGTTGTATAATTGTGTGTTTGTTAGCTCAAATTTGTTTTATTACAATGACTCTTTGTGGTTTTGCATAAAAAGCCACTGTCATGCTATCACTCGTATATTGTTTACATACAGTTTTGGATATTGAGCGATTTCTTTCATTATAGAAACTGACTGCAAGCATCATCTGCTCACAATCTGCCATTTGTTTCTCTAACAAGGGAAAAAACAAGTCAGAAATGTGTATGGTGATTCAGAGGTCTGGAACTAGGCTGTGCCTCACAAAGTTCAGCTGCCTTCACTTACTGTGCTGCAGGAAAATAGAATTGACCATGTAGGCTCATGACTTAAGAATTAATTGATTAGTTTATGAATTATTTAGTTGATTAACTGATTTGTCAATAAGATGTTGATATATAGTTTTAGAAAAGCGCATCACTTCTCCCAGTTTTCAAGGTCTTCTGGTAGTTTTTTTAAAGAAACAACTCAAATGATTTCTTGTAGAAAAATATCCATTGAACAGTCGATTCGGTAACGTCAATTGGAAACACTGCAAAGCAAAGAAGCAGCATGAAGTGATGATTTGACAATAATGTTCAGCACCATGAAGAGAAGAAACAACAACGGTTTCCTCCTGCTCTCCTGCAGATGGTACCACGGAGCCCTGAGCCGCTCGGAGGCAGAAACTCTGCTGACTCTGTGCAAAGAGAGCTCCTACCTGGTGAGGAACAGCCAGACCTGCCGCAACGACTACTCGCTCTCACTCAGGTAGACACTCCTGTTTACACTGTTGTGTTTCAAGTCCCTTCCTGTGGCCCTGTGCTGTGTGTCATCACCCATTCCCTCTGCCCCCCTTTCACCACTAACCTCTCTCTCTGTCCTATCAAATAAAGGCCATAAAACCCCTAAAATCATTCACATGTGGACTTGACTCATTTTGTCTTAAATTTAATAGTTGTGTTATTACACTCGGCCAACAGAGGGTCCTCCATCCTCTGTCGCCATATTTGCAAATTTAAAAATTCAGTGCTTCCCTTTCAGCTGTATAATCAAGTTGGAGACCATTGAGTTCTGACTGGATGTTTTGACCATTTTGAGTCCCACCGTCCAGACGCTGGTCGTGTACCTCATGGTGGTATGCTACTTGAGATGCAGCATTTCTTCAGCCATGAGCTGTATTGGATCTAAAAATAGATCTCCTCATTCTGCCTTAATTTGAAATATCACTGCGATCTCTTAAAGGGGATTTCTAATCTAGTTAACTGCATTGCGCTGTTTCCTAAATTATCTGATCCAGTTTTTGCCTCATTTGGGGTTTGTTACAGTCTGTGGGTGGTTTCAGAATATTCTCAGATTTCAACCTCGAGGTGACTTTTACAGTAATTGATTTTTTTCAATCAACTTTTTCCCATCATCTGTTAATTCAAAATCCAGTGAGGCGTGACAACACAGATTCTGTGTATCTACCTACAGAATCTGTTTATAGAGACTATAGGTAAAGACTCACCACCTCCTGCTCATCTCTCTCTCTCCTTATTTCCCAGGAGCTGCAAAGGCTTCATGCACATGAAGTTCACTCAGTCTGGAGACGGGCGTTATGTGCTGGGTGAGAACAGCCCTCCCTTCTCCACCATCCCCGAGGTCATCCACCACTACACGACACACAAACTGCCAATCCGCGGCGCAGAACACATGTCCCTACTGTATCCTGTCATCGTTCAGACGCTCTGACGGCGACAAACACAAACTCTTTCTCCCGGTGCTACTGAACACAATGTATACTCAATATTTAACCATGTCTACCCTCTATTCCCACATGCCTTTTTCTCTGCCACTCTACCAGTGCAAGAGATTGGACTGTTTGGTGCCATTGTTTCCTTTATCCCCCCCACAAACCCAGTAACTACACTGCCGGTTTAATGACAGAGCTCAGTGCCTCATGAACCTTCGCCTGTGAACTGGGTTCATCACTAAGGTTCCTGTACTTGAATACCACCAACTCCTGAAAACCAGCGATCATCTATTAAGTTTGGTAGCAGCAAACTTTTAGTTAAAAGAGGAAAAATACAAACTTCAGTCTTGAGGTGTCTGAAGATGGTAGAAGTTTAAGAACTGCCGGGTGTCTGAAAGGGCAACACTGGTGTTTTCCTTTGGTTTAAGCATGTGCCAATAATCCAAGTTGATTATTCATCCAATACAATACAGCAGTTATTCACATGTGAATTTCTTGTTATAAAGCGACACAAAAATCCAACAGTTAGACATAGACGGTAGAAAATGCAGTAAAAATGTGCTGTAACTACAAGCAACACTGCTTTTATCCCTTAATGTCCTTTACACTACAAACCAAACATATGTGACCCTGGCTGCCTGTTAGCTCCGGGTTTCACTGTGTTTCAGACGCCTGAGATTGTTGAGGATTCAATGCTGTGACTGCGAGCTGCAGTTCATCAGGTTAGCGTCTGAGAAACACAACGCGACAGTTTAATGTCGAGAAGGACACGGCTTGTTAACTTCGCGCAGTAACAGACTCCTGCAATACTAGTTTAGAGAGTAATAACTACAGTATTATATTGAAAGCTTGTGGCTTTGTGATCATGATTATAAAAGATGCTTCGGTAGATTATTTACTGTGCTTTTATAAGATTTTATGTCTGTTGAAAATAAAAGTTGTCACCTGTTTTTAAATCGTCTGTGCATCGTTTATTTTTGTACTCGGTTCATTTGTGAACAGGTTTTCACAGCACATGGCGCTTCATAAGAAAGTTCACACAGCACATTTATAACCTGGAGTTAAGCTTGTTAATTATTAATGTAGTCGTAATTACAAACTAAAATCGTGGTTGAATTGCAGCCTGACTGTTCACACATCATTTAACAGCCTGCAGTTGTATGTAAAAATGTATAAATATAGAAATGGTAGAATTTTTTTTGTAGTATAATTTAGCAGCTCCAGAAATATATTGTACATGTAACAAGTGTGTGATTTGGTGATATCTAGTGGAGGAAATCTATATTGCAGTTTAAAATTACTGCTGAAAAACTTTGCAATATCTGGGCACATAAAACCTTTTCACTGTCAGGAGGCCTCTGAATCTCCAGGACCAACACAATACTGATCAGCGTCAAAGATTGAGTCCTGGGCTTGTTATAACCACACAGAAACTGCACTGTAGAAATACTGTATGTCCAATATCTGAAATTCATACAATACGTTTAAAGATTTGCATAAATCAAAAATACATTTTAAAGCACTGACATTTCTGTTAATATCACTGCATCTGAGTTTCCTGTTTCTGTGGAATCACATTAATGATAATCTTGCCCATGTTCTTATTTGCCTCCATGTGCCTGTGAGCCTCTGCGATATCCTCCAGGTTGAATGTGCTGTCAATCACTGGCCTCAAGGAAGCAGCCTGGTTTGAGAAATGTGATAACACTCGACGAGAAAAAGCTTCGACCAGGTCCGCTTTGTACTGAGGAGAGAAAAAAGTCACAGATGTGGAAATTAATACAAGAGATGTGTTACCAGCACAGACTGTATAGAAAGATAGAGTCTTGGTTGCCTCCTGGTGGCTGGCTGCTTTATAGGTCATCAAACCCACGTCCTCCAAAGTCCACATTTAGAACATTTCATCTGAAGTGGAGACACATCGTCTATCTTTATTTACCGTATTTAAATTGCCTCATTTGGGAAAACAAGACACAGGAGTTCACAAAAAGGAACAATTGAAATGAGACAGATTTTCATTTCATCTGTGTCAGCCTGTTGTTGCTTTGTTGGAATTCTCACCTGAAGGCTGCGGGAGCGGAGGAGGCTGCTGAGCAAGTGTCCTCGCTTGGAGAGCAGTTTCCCCAGAAAATCTCCCTCCACTGCTCTGCCTCCCATGGTGCCGTACAGCACCCACCGTCCATCGGTGGCCAAGCAGCTCACGTTTTGCTCCCAGTTACATCCCCCAATGCAGTCGAGTATGACCTCTGCTCCCCTGCCTGTGACATTACAATGAGGTTACTGTACTATGTATATAGTCGCAGTGTGTATTCTTCTTAAAATTGATATTCTGTAGTTTTCTTCTTGTCAACAAATCCCATGAAAAGACCAGAACCAACAATGAAATCAATGAGTCACATGTTTCTTATTATCGTTTATTTTTAATGGAACTCACACACCAACATCATCATACTTGGTCTCTGACTGTATTAATCCACAGCTGAAAATAGTCCCAAACAAATTCACTATTTAATCTTGAGTACCATTTAAGAAAACCTTTACTAACTGCTATAGGAAATAATTTAGCCCATTTTTTAACAATAAAACTATTTTTTTTTAAAAGGTCTCTAGATGTCACAATATGGTCACAATGTTGGTTTTGGTGTTTTTTTGGAATTTGTTGACAATAGCAAAAAATATTTCCATCAGAAAATGACATTAAGAAATAGTAATTATGAACAACGAGCTCTATTATGATTGTGAAAATCACCTCCTGTAAAGTCGTGAACTCCCTGTGCGAAGTTTTCCTCTTTATAGTTGAACCCGGCTGCGGCTCCCAGTTTCTCAGCCATCTTTAGCTTCTCTGTGCTCCCGGCCGTAACGATAGACACAGCGCCGAACAGACGAACCAGCTGAATGGCAGCCGTTCCCACGCCGCTGCCTCCAGCATGAACCAGCACCACCTCCCCCTCCTTCACCTGAGCTGCAGCAGAGAAGACAGAGACAGTTTAATATTAACGTTTGTCACAGATGGTGACAATGAGCTGATGAAGAAATTAGAAATGATTATTTTGATGTGTTTTTGTTGACGACACAAGGAGGAATGGATTTTAAAATGTATTATTCTTTGTGTCTTTTACTTTTTTATTAACATCAAGTTGCAACTTAAATGATAAACAATCAGTTGTTTACATGTAACATGCGATTATCAAATCAATATTTGTTGATGAATTTTTCATTAATATGCAGTTTTAACGTCTGGTTGTGTTTTCTTGTTTGTAAAATAATAAAAGCTGATATACCTACGAGCGCCAGCAGCTGGAAAGCGGTGAGCCAGGCCTCTGGGATGGCAGCAGCCTGGCACAGGGTGAGATTCTGGGGAACGGGCATGAGAAGCTCCTCAGGCACAGCAACATATTCTGCGTATCCTCCTCCACAGAGCAGGGTCATGACCCTGTCCTCTGGCCTCCAACCTTTTTTCACCCCGGGGCCCAGCGTGTCTACAGTCCCAGCCACCTCCAGGCCGATGATGTCGCTCTCACCTGGGGGAGGTGGGTACAGTCCTCGCCTCTGGTGAGAACAGAGAATAAAGAGACAGGATGTATTTCACTTTATTATTTGACTGCAATGCATCTGAATTCTGTCCACAGGTAATAAAATAACCACTGACTCACATTAGACAACAGACCATCATGTTTACAGTGTAAACTGTATTGTGTATGACATGTGAGACTGTATATTGTATTGTACCTGTAATAAATCTGCCCTGTTCAGAGCAGTAGCGTGAACTTTAATCAGGACCTCTCCATGTTTAGGTTCAGGTCTGGGAACAGTCCGCAGCAGCAAACTCTCTGGTCCCCCGGGGACGTCCACACACGCCGCCCGCATCATTTTGGCAAAACTTGAGCACTGTCTCCAGGTCTATTGACCTAATTAATTAAAATATCAGTCTTGCAACCCTATAAATGGTGTGTCAAAGTTAACCTGAGGCAACTTCCTGAAAGCTTTGAAATTGGAAATCAAACACTCACATAGGTGTTTCCCAATAACAAGCTTCCAGGGTGCAGGATGTTTTGCATCAGATCACTGCACCACCACAAAGGCAACTGTGAAAACAGAAAAAAAGGGAAATCAACATCAGTAGCAATGACGACCACAGCTGAGCAGACAGCTCCCACACATACTGCAAATGTGATTTGATTATAGATCACTTATCAAAATGCAAACATGCTTAAGTGCATTGTTCTCCTTCTTCAAACAGTGATAATTGTAATTGTATTTATTTTTTATTATAAAGTTTTCGGTTGAACTGTTAAATATCAAGCCTCAATCACATTTCTTCGTCACAAGGGTTTATATCTCAACATCTTAAAAATCATTGCATTTCTTTAATATTGATAAATGAGCAAGTACATCAGTATTGAAAGGTTTTACTCGCTCACATCAGAACCGAGGACATGAATAACAAAACGTTTCAGCAGAAGAGACAGAACAGTTCAGAGTTCTTCACTATTTGTCTGACCGAGGATCAGTTTCACAATCACCAGTTGCGTAACTCGCACGTGCTGGAATGTGACCGAATTAAAGTGTGTGAAGCTGCAGCAGATGAATGAAGTTGTAAAGAGTTGACTGCAGAAGCAGACGATGCAGCAGAGTTCACCGTGTGAAACAGTTTGTCTGAATCTGAACATTATATTCAAGCGTCAGAAAACAAACTCACCGGATAAAAGACGTTTAAAGCTTCATCAACGTGGAGAAAAGAAAGAGAGATTGTTGGGAAGTTTCGTCCTCCTCCTCCTCTTCCTCACCACCAAACCGTGAAGAGGAGGAGGAGGAAGAGGAGGCTCCGGGCTGTGTGACTGTGACGAGCCTGTTAAAGGAATAATACGCAATAATCATATTTCTCTTCACCAACAGGATCAGTGAGGATTTCAACTGAAGATGTTTTGTCCGTTACACACATGATAATTGATTTATGTAAGTTCAGGAGCATTTTGAATATAACAAGTCCACTGAAGGTAAAGTGAATGGAGAAATACAGTAATGTGAACTTATATGTTTGATAGAGAAGATGACACAGCTGCAACAGAAAAACATTTTTTAAACAATTGAATATTTTTTCTATTAATCAGCTCATTGTTTGGTCTGAAAACAAATCTTCCATACTAGTTTTAATATTCTTAAGTTTACTGTCAAACAGCATGAGGGAAAGACTGACTGAATGTTCCCAATGAAGTACCTGAAACATGATTGTTGCTTAATAACTTAAATAATTTATCACTTAATACAATCGAGGCTGATTCATTTCTCAAATCATTATTTCAACTATGGGGGTTTTGTTTAGCGAATATGAGTTTTTTCTGGAGATTACAATATTTTGTTAAAGAAACTCACACAAGTCTGCAGTGGTTTCCTATAATACTGACCTAAAACATATCTTGTGGATCTCAAACATTGACCGATCATGTGACAACGTTACTTATTGTGGGAACTGCAAGAAGCTCTGTGACTATGGAGGCCTCCTGTAATCCAATCTCACTGCATTTAACCAACAATCCCTTTCACTTGACTTCAGATACAATGGGGCTATTATATTACACTCGCTCCGACAGCCATAGCAGCAGACGGTCTAACAGCACTCTGGAGAATGATGCACACACGTCAGGTAGCAACAATGGTTTTATTATAAAGAGTTAGATGGCAAATTTACAGGAAAAATGGGCAAAACATGTGTTTCTCCATCTAGATCTTATACAAATGGATCCAGTCCACAGACGATGGGTTCTGCAGAAAGAGCTGAGAGTGTTGAACCAAAAGGAGGACAGAGATCTTCAGCAGAAACTGAGCATGCTGGACAAACAGTACCGCTACACCTGTAAAACGCTGCAGCAAAGACGAGACTCACTGTTTAAAGAGCAGAGACGAGTGGTGATGGTGAAAGTGTGCGAACCCAAAGCAACAGTCAACATCGCCATGAAAGAAATCGGAGAGCACAAGGACACAGAGACACACGTGAGAGGCATTCACACGTCTGACGGCAGGAGTCTGTGCTCCAGCAAATCCCTGCATCACCACGATGGATCTGAGGCGGTGAAGCAGAGTCGGTCGATCTCAGCACCTCCACCCTCGGTGGCCAAACCCACGAGTCCAGTGAGACGCAAAGGCAACGTGTCTCTCATGCAGATGAAAAATATTGCAACTATCGACTCGATATCAGAAAAAGAACTGGCCAGAAAACAGCAGAAAGCCCGAGAGGAACTGGAGGGGGCGCGGCGGCTTCAGAGGGAAACGTTACACAAGAGGGTGGCAGCGTTTATAGAAAGTCTCAGAGACAAAAGCAGCGTAGAAATACTGGAACCTCAATAGAGGAACCTGACAGCACAAATGTATCAGCTACTATCAAGCAAGACAAAAAAAGATTATTCTTATATATACTGTTTCATTACTTGTGATTAAATAATATTCCCCATCTTCTTCATGGTCATCAAAGCTTTGTGCAGTGGAGTCTCCATGAGCAGGCCGCAGTTTTTCCTCCACTCTGGAGACTCGAGAATCTCCTTGACTGAAAAATAAATATACATATTACAAAAGACTTTGAGTACACAATCCTGTTATTTGGGAAGGTATACATTTGAATATGTTACTTTATATTACAACATTTATTATTTTAATATCGTAAACAAACCTCTTTAACAAACCCATCAACTTTAATTTATTAATTGAATTCATCCTTTTACCGTCCAACTAAATGTAAAGACACAATTTTCTGTGATGAGTTCACAAACCTACCATCGCATTCAAACTGGACTCTTGCTGGAAGACACGCGGTGTGGTCAGTGTAGTCCAGCGTGCAGAGGACGGCGGTCTTCGTCCTCGGCACAGTGAACATCAGCACGAGTATCGAACACAAGACGTTGCTCTCCATCACTTCGATGGACTTGTGCTGCTCCTGCAAACGGGCGGAGGACACAGTCAGTCAGGATCAATTTATTATATGAAATATATGAGTTATAGCTGAATATAATTGTTCTGTGTTATGTTTTGGTTTTGATAATAAAGGACAATTCAGTAGTTGTATATCAACCTTTAGCCTCTGAACATTATGTTAAAGTTTGTTTGTATAGAAGGAATATTTAAACCAATTTAATGATGGGATTTTTTTGATATATCCACTAGAAGCCAGATTTTGTCTGATAACATGTAGGCATCTGGAGACAGGTGCTCAAACCTGCCACAGGCTTATTAGAACAAAACCTGGCACCTTGACAAGCTGCAGCTGCTGCTTGCGCCCAGCGAAGGCGTTGAGATGTTGGCTGAGTGTGTCCAGAAAAGCCCTTATGTCCGTCTGCATGTCGCTCTGCTCGGCGAGGCCGCTCAGAGGAATGAACGGGGGAACGTTGTGACGACTGATCCTCAGCGTTGGCTTCAGGTCGATCTCCAGGTTGTAGGTCTCCAAGCAGACGCCCTCGTAGGCCGTCGCCACAGACACGCACACTCCTTTGCCGTGGCGCGTCTTGACGATGTCGTACCCGCCTAGTGACGTCAGAAAAGGTTGAGGAGAATGTAAAGACACATTGATAAAGACTCAATGTTATATACACAAGGACACAGGTGATAGTCTGTACCGATGAGGTGATGAGCGAGCAGAAGATCCTTCAGTTGTGTGTGTCTGGCCATCAGCCTCAGCAGCTGTGAGTTCTCAGAGTCTTCATCCATTTCCTCCTCCTCCTCCTCTTCGGTGCTCTTTTTGTCCAAAGACGTCCTCAGTCTCTGAAGACTCTGTTACAGGACAATCAATCAATCACCTGATGTGTCTGTAGCTCTATCAATCACCTGATGTGTCTGTAGCTCTATCAATCACCTGATRTGTCTKTAGCTCTATSAATMACCTGATRYGTCTKTAGCTCTATGAATAACCYGATGYGTCTGTAGCTCTATGAATAACCCGATGTGTCTGTAGCTCTATGAATAACCTGATGTGTCTGTAGCTCTATCAATCACCTGACGTGTCTGTAGCTCCGTCTTCAGCTGCTCTCTCCGGACCCTCAGCGCTTCAGCTTCCGCCCTCAGCTCCTTCACGCGGCTCCTCTGCGGGGGAACATGTCTGCGGCTCCTCGCCTGAACCTCCAGTAGACTCAGGTGACTCAGAACTCCTGCGGCACGGACACAGTCTCTCAGTCTCTCCCATTCAAACACTCGGGTGTTAGCATTAGCTGCTACAGTCACAACACACTCCCTCACAGTCTGTGCAGCTCTCAGTTACCTTTGGTAGATGCTCCCTCCATGTGAGTGCAGCTGTCTTTGTGTTGAACTCTGTGTTGAACTCTGTGTTTAGCTTTGTGTTTAACTCTGACTCTGTGTAAACACTCATTTACAAGTTGTGTGTTTTTTTTCTAGTTTCGCGGCTCCTGCCTCTTCATTGTTGGTGCCTTCACGTGTTGTCGAAATAATCGGACAAACTACCACCTGACGTCAACGCCCCCTCACAACTCTGTAGGTCAGCACACACAAACTGGTCAAACAGTCCGAGTTGTCATATTGTTTCTAAATTCTGACGTAAAAGCACACGGACGCATTTTGGCTGTGTCCGAAATCGCTAACTTATCATTACACAGTCCAATAAAGTGAAGTGGGTGGTTTCGGACTAGCCATTGTCGCCTGAGGAACAATTTCCCTATATGCTGAACTGTCCGAGGAGCACGTGAATGCAGCTGACTGACTAACCCGCCTACATGTTTAACTTCGTCCCGGAAGTGGATTTGAAACCTCCTGATCGCGTGGTGTCGTGAGATGAGATGAGAGGAGGAGGTTTATATCAGACCTCATGAACACGACTCATGAGCTAGAGGACATCAGACTTCTAGAAGTAGAAAGTTGTGTTTTATCTTCTCCTCTTGTTCGGTCGAGTGGTTACGTCAGTAACGTTGCTCTCTTGAACACAGCTCAGTAAAACGCATGGCGCCACAGTCTGGTCACAGCTGAGCTGACATGTAAAGGTGAGTCTCATGTTTTTAATTCACCTTCAACTCATTTCTCCAACATGATGTTATTTTGATTAAGTTTATTTTCTATTCGTGTTTCCTTAAGTTCACTTGCAGAATTACTGCTGTTAATGCACTATTCATTTATTTTGAACTTTAATACAGTTTATTGTGAGCTTACTGTGATTAGTGGTTTGTTATTGGCACCTCAATCAATCAGAAGCTCATTCGATAAGTGATTATTAATCATTCTCAGACTTCTCACATGTCTGTGTTTCTTTATTTCATATTGTGGTAAATTTAAATTCTCTGGGACATCATTTAATGATCTGACAAAACCAAACTCGTGTGGATGTCAGTCGCAAGATGTTGGATCACAGTTGATTGAGAAGCCGACAGATTTATTAACAAAGAATTATCAGCAGAAAAAATCTGCATCCTGTGAATCATTTTCTTCATTTTCTTGGTTTTGAAATAGGAATTATTGAGCAATCTTAGTGATCGACATTTCCCACAGATGGAAATCAACTCCTTAAATTTCTTGTTTTATTTTTCTATACTGCAAGATGAAAAATAATCCCATAAATGTAAGATGCTGTAAAAAGCTTATCTTTGACATAGTTGTTTGAAAAGTGAGTCAAAACAATTACTTGAATAAAATACAGAGTTTGTTTCTTGTTTTGTTAATCTATGTCAGTCAAGCTCTGATAAAAATGCTTATACTTTTTCCTCACTTTAGTTTTAGTGCCCGTTAAGATATCAAGTGTTTACTGTTCTGACATATCTGTCAGGTTATTAGGTACAACCAGTTAAAGCAAACACAACATTATCAATCCAATCAATGAAATACAACAACCTGATGAAATTTGACCATCATGAAGGTTAAAGTGTTTTTTCTTTTTCAAGACATCTTATAATTTGCCTTATTTGACCCACAATGTTTCATAAAAGTGATTTTACAAATATTATTATTATTATAAATAATTACTAATAAATGAGCAAAAATCCAGAACAATCAAAGTTGGGTAAAATGCCCAATGAAAGTAGGATTGACTAAAAGATTTTTAAAATGAGAAAAAACAAAATGCAACTACATAATCTGGGGGGAAACAAACTTAAAAACCTTTGTCCACAAAGCTTGTTGACCTGTAAATCCAGAGACACTGGTTGCTGTTGTTTGTCTTTTGGGCTCCGTACACACGACTGCAGCAGGAGGCAGAGTAACTGGACACTTGACCTTCAACCCTCAACATTTCCAAAGCAGCGCTCAGTATTTTAGTATTTTTGGATCAGGATCGTTGGGGGAGGGAAGTTGACACAGAATGTGTCTGACTATGATTTGTCCCATTTTACAGACCGGAGGTTGTCTCATGTAACAACTGACGCAACCAGGTCAGTTTAGATGACGGTGAAGACATCCTCCGTCAAGGAATGAAAAAATGTGACAATACCAGCTCAGTGGAATCCAGCGTGTGAAGGTTTGATTCTTTAGTCCACGAAAACTTCAGTGATCAGCTGATTAATCGAGCGTCAACAAAAAATAAATCAGTTTATGTTTAAGGAGTTTTCCAATAAAAATGATCAAATTCAACAGTTCCAGCATCTGTCCAAATGTTTTATGTTGATTTCAAACCCTTTTATGATTGTTAAATACATTTCCGTTTGCTGCTTTTTTTTACGGGAAATGATTCAGTCCGTAACAATTTTCATTATCAATGAATCATTCTGTTTTATGGTGTGAAATATGCCTCATACAATTTTCCACACCCCAAATTAATGTCTTTAAATATTTTTTTTTTTTCGGACTATCAGTTCCAAAAATAACAATCAGTAAACTGCCCTCATGTGAAACTAAGAGAAACATTGAATCGTCACATTTCAGAAGCTGGAGCCAGAAAATATTTGGCATTTTCGGGGGAGACCTGTTTTCTGAATGGTCAAGATGTGCACCTCAAGGTTTACTCTCTCGCTCCACTTTCACTGTCTAAAAAAGGCAAAAGACCAAAACATATACAAAATATTTCCTGACAACTGACAAATAGATTTCTAAAAACGAGTTGGTCACATCTGTTTAATGAGCATCTTGTCTTTCTCCAGGGCTGCTGGACTCTCCTGGCTGATGGGTGTGGACGAAGACGCTTCTCATCCGTCTGACTGCGGGAGGAAGAAACCTCCAGCTGCAGCCAGGAGACAATCACAATGGACCCCTCCGACCACAAGCACTTCACGGTTATAGACTATGTGGTATTTGCCGTCTTGCTGGCTGCTTCTATGGGCATCGGCCTGTACTACGCTCTGTCCGGTGGCCGTCAGCGCACCACACAGGAGTTCCTGATGGCAGACAGGAACATGCACTGTCTTCCGGTTTCCCTGTCGCTCATCGCCTCGTTCCAGTCCGCTGTGGCGATCATCGGCGTACCGGCGGAGATCTACACACACGGCACCCAGTACTGGTTCATCGGCTGTGCCTACTTTCTGGGTCTTCTCATTCCAGCTCATGTTTTCATTCCAGTGTTCTACAGACTGAGGCTCTCCAGCACCTACCAGGTTTAAACATTAATGTTTCCAGTTGTATTGGTTTGGAAATTATTCCAGATGTGTTTTTTCTCAATGACTGACATTTTTAATCTTTTGTTTCCACAGTATCTCGAGCTGCGCTTCAGTAAAGCAGTGCGTATCTGTGGAACTTTGACCTTCATCTGTCAGATGGTGAGTTCAGTCCCAGTAACTCAGTTAAGTGTGCACATAGTGACTTCTGATCTGAAACCAGTGTTTCCTTTTTAATCTGGATCATTCTTAGGTAAAATAATATGACGTCAGGGATAACATAGAGCTAAAAGTTGGCAAGCGTCAATTATCACTGTTGTGTCTCAGTAAGTAACATGTTGTTGTAGAAACTATAAAAGTGTAAAAATGCCAAGTTGTGGTTTAACTGTGTGGAGCAGGAGCAGTTACCTTTAGACAGACCAAAGCAAATAAGAATATTTAAAAAATAAAAATGTTATTATCGCTCTGATATAATGGGGTGAACTGATGCATGTGTTCTATTGGTTTCAGAATCTTCATGTATTTACCTTTTTAAGTCGATATAAGTTTATAATTTATATTTCATGTACTTGGCTGCAGGTTATCTATATGGGAGTCTGTGTGTATACTCCTGCCTTTGCACTAAATGCAGGTAAGAAAAACACTTTTATAATATAAATAATTTTCTCCGACTCATGAAATCTGAATGGATGAGATTTCATGTTTTACTGTGTCTGTGTTTTCTCTCAGTTACTGGGTTTGAATTGTGGGGAACAGTGCTGGCCACTGGGCTCGTGTGCACACTGTACACAACGATGGTGAGTTATTTTTATTTTACGAATCATTTGTAGAGAAAAGTCTGCAGTTAAAAGATGTTATGCTTCGATATAAAGTGTAAATACTTAGGATATGATTGCTAAATTAAACAGTACATAGTGTTTTAATGTTGGCATGTATCAGATTCATGTGTCCTGTGTGTTCCTGGCAGGGTGGCTTGAAAGCCGTCATCTGGACGGACGTCTTTCAGACTGCTGTTATGTTTGCGGGGCAGCTGGCTGTCATCGTGGTCGGGGTGCAGAAGACTGGAGGGGTGTCGGAAGTTTGGAGGAAAGTCGGTGAGGGAAACCGCATCTCTGGTCTCGAGTAAGTCGTCATCAATCAGGAGCTTCAGTAATATTACAGGCTGTAAATCCAAATCTGTTTCTTAAAGAGGGTGAGCGATAGAGGGGAGGGTTCATTACTAAGAGGGTCCCTCTTGTTTTCAGCCTGAACCCAGATCCTACAGAGAGACACACATTCTGGACTCTGGGGGTCGGCGGGGTCTTCCTCATGCTGTCCCTCTACGGAGTGAACCAGACTCAGGTGCAAAGATATCTCAGCTCCCGCACAGAGAAGGAGGCTGTCAGGTACAACGGACTGTAGCTTTTCAGTGTTTCTGTAGATTTTCATTTTGATATTATAGGAAAATTGTTTGGACAGTTACCAGGTAGAACCGTTAGATTATGTAAAGTCTCCAGCTCTATGCATGACACTTGGTTCCTCTGCATCACGAGTCACCCTTTCATATATATTTGCATTGTAAATTGTAATTGACCTAAGGAAGTGATTCAACTAGTAATTCTAGTTCACAGAAGTGTTTACGTTTAATCTTTGTTCTGATCTGAACGGTTGCACAGATAATCACAGTCAGGCGAAGTCACACATGCACAAATGTGGTGGTGACGAACATTTGCTTCCCGTTCACTTCCATTCTGTGCGACCAGGGAGCGGATAAAATATTAGCTTCCTGTGGCGAAGGGATGCACTTCAACATTGGTGAACTGTGATGTTACAGCCGTCACCAATAGCAACGACATTTGTGTGGTTGACCCCACTTGGCTGTCACTGCAGGCGATCTGTTGTTTGGATTCACATATGTGTCACTGCCCTTTTACTGACTGTGGTGACCCCCTGACCTTTTCCTCTAGCACCACCTGCAGGTTGATATTGTTGGTTCAGAGTGAAATATATCTCAGTGACTATTTTAGAAACTATCATGTAGTTGAAAATATTAAATGTCCTAAGCAGCGACTATAAATTCCAATAATTGAAATGATCACTTTTGCGCCATCATCTGGTTAAAATCTTTATTCACGAGTTAGATTCATGATTTATGTGTTAAGCTCCAAAGTTTCCACTTTTCACTCACTGGCCCTGTTCTCTGTGCAGGTCCTGCTACATGGTGTTTCCCTCCCTGCAGCTGGCTCTGGCTCTCAGCTGTGTGATGGGGCTGGTCATGTTTGCACGTTACTGTGGAGAGGATCTGTCCGATAAACTTGGCCCCTCCTCCACAGATGCAGTGAGTTTCAGTTTATTTCCCAGATTTACCGTTGTTATCCACCGAGCTATTTCCTCCATGTTCTGGCAACAGAGAAACTACAGCAGTGAGACTATTTGCATTTTTTTATAGTGATCATATTTAGTTGCTGGTGACTCATACATCTATGCAAACCAAGATTTGTGTTTATGGTGTATTTTCCACAGATGGTCATATACTTTGTGATGGATATGCTGCAGGGTCTGCCTGGACTGCCCGGACTGTTTGTTGCTTGTTTATTTAGTGCAGCTCTCAGGTATGACGCTACCACAGGGGCAGTTTTGATTAAACAAAACTGTGGTCCCAGCAGCTTTTAATATCACACGATGTATGAAAAGCTCTCAACCTTCTATTCAAAACAACATGTGAGCATCAAAGTTTGGTTGTTTCCCTTTTACCAAAACCAGGAAAGACCTCTTTAACCCAGTTTCCACTAAAGCTGATCATTACATAAAGTCAGAATTTAGTAGACAGTTGTATTAGACATTAACTTGGTTTTCCTCATAATCTGCCAACGCGGTGTCCAAAACACATTTTTTAATACTTTCATGATTTAATAGTTAGTCATGTATTTTAAAGACCCCCTTAATGATAAGTGTTATTTTGTTTTTTCCCCTGCAGCACCATCTCCTCTGCCTTCAACTCTTTGGCCACTGTGACAATGGAAGACCTCATCAAACCTCATTTTCCAGCCATGACGGAGGCCAGAGCACTCCTGCTGTCCAAATCTTTAGGTCAGTTCTCTGAAGCTGGTAGCTGGTGGGAGGGTACGTCACATGTTACTCAGGGATGTAGCTGCTTTACGGAATAAAGGCCGGGAATGCAAACACATCTTCAATGTCTTCTGGAGGATAAATTGACCCTTTGCTGCAGACGTTGGTCTTTTTGTAACCCAGCAGAACTTTTACATGCACAGAAAAAAGCTATGAAACGCTAATTATATATATATATTTATATAATAAATGACAGATTTGCTCAAATGTTTCAACTTATCTCCTCAATAAGCTATGTCCTATGGGCTGCTGTGTCTGGCCATGGCCTATCTCACTCACCTGATGGGTGATTCAGTTCTGCAGGTAAGCTCACAGGTTTTCTTAACAAATAATAACCAACTCTTCTCACTAAGTTCTTCTAATAATTGTCACTGTTTGGATATTTGAACTCCAGGTGGCTTTAAAGATCTTCGGGATGGTCGGGGGGCCTATTCTGGGTTTGTTTTCTCTCGGGATCTTTTTCCCCTGGGCCAACTCCACTGTAAGTGTAAGATCTGTCATGAGACAATATACAGTATAATCTTGATTTATTACTGTTGTGCTTACTTTGGTCAAAGTTATCTTGGTATAAATTGTTGCTGCTCAATAATCTGATCTTAAATTGAAAATAAAAATACTTAAATAATTGTTTTTTAAAAATCTTATAATACAACCATGGCTCTGCTGTCCTGTATCTGCATTCGAGCAGTGAGATAACCAGGTGGAGTCTCAGCAGCCTCCACAAACATGTGTAGTAAGGTTAAATTGGGTTTCCTTGCATCGGTTTTGTATTGGATTGTACAGAAACAACTCCGATGTTGGAAGCCACTGTCTAGACTGTCATCAATCAAGTTTTCATTTTGCTGTTCAGGGAGCGTTAGCAGGTCTGGGCGCCGGCCTCTCCGTGGCTTTCTGGGTCGGCATCGGGAGCATATTCACTCGTAGCCCCGGCACGAGGCCGCTGCCGCCTGACTGCAGAGTTGACCTTCTGTCAGACAACATGACTGCTGTCATTCAGACAGCAATCAGCAGGAATATGAGGTATAAATCACTCGGACAGCACCGTGTGTGTGTGTGTGTTTAGTTGTTTTTATGGTACATAATCATCTCTCTCTGTTCTTTAGCCGACCCTCTGGATTGAAGAGGTTCTATTCACTGTCTTACATGTGGTACAGCGCCTTTAACTGCTTCACAGTCATTGTGATAGGACTGATCATCAGCTTTCTCACAGGTAGGCGAGTTTTTACATTTACACTTGCTCTTCAGAACGTTTCAGTCTGACTTTAAAGTGTTTTCTCTTGAGGTCCTATGAAAGAGGAGGATTTGACACCAGGCACAGTCTTTCCCTTGTTGGGGAAACTGCTGTGTTTTCTACCTGAACACCTGAAAAAGAAGCTGTGCTGTGTGACTCCACTGGGACACACAGTGAGTAAAATGACAGAATGAGTTTGAATTCACTCAGACACAATAATTCCTGCAGTAAAATTAAACTTATAATCATTTTAGTAATATTGCTGACATCTGTTCCTTGTGATAATTCAGAAGTTGATTCAGGCGTCCACGCGTGCTACAAAATATAATGTAATTTAAAACTGTAGGTGGCAGCATATTGTAGTCAAAAGTGTGAGCTCAGTTTCGAGCTGAGAGAGTCTGCAGTGGTCTGACCAATATAACCTTCAGATTGTCTCTTTATTGTTTGCAGAGATATATTGGAAATTGTCTTTTTTGGACCATATTTTTGTTGACCTTGACCGTGGACCTTTGTCAGATCAGCTCCAATAGTTATTCATCTGGAAATAAGAACTGTAGTGTTTACGTCCTGGCCGTGAATAGTGTAAATCAATTATTTAATGTGTCCCTTATTCTTGCAGCTCTCATCACAACGAACGCAGCCTCCGCAGTGCAAAGAAAGTAACGGGTCGGCCTTCCGACAAGAGGACGGACCAACAGAGGAAGAGACAGAGAGCTTTCTTCCTGATGCTTACACGTCTTATGTGGAGCATGAAACAGCCGTGTGATGAAGTCTCGCATGTCGGGTTAGAAAACTTCTTCAGACAAAGCACTTGGCCAAACAACACAATCGTATACTGTTGAATTTGTGGTTAGTGATGTAATTCAGATTTGCCATGTCTAATGCTGCTGCGAGGTGAAAGCTAAACAATCTTTATTCAGAAGTTGTTCTTTTTTAAATCTACTACCATCTTCATGTGTTCAAGAAAAGACGTACGAGTGCAGCTGAGCCTCACATTTGACTGATTGATTGACTGATAATCACATGTTTGATTTTCATACTGTATCTGTCGACCTCAGGTGCACGATCACTGTTTCACATGTCCGAACATGTAAAGATGCTGCTGTTAGAGAATCAACACCCAGTGGAGGTTAGATCAGCTGAAATGTTTTATAAGTGGATTTTGTACTTGACTGTCACTACTGCAGCTTTATGAATGTTATGAGTGGAGTCTCGCTTTAATGCAGCTAAAACTGGAAAAAAACAACCTTTTGTAAGAAGGAATAAAGATTTTGTATTTAATATTAAGGTGTTTTTTCCTCTTTTTGTGACAAAAAAACCTTTTACCCTGGAGGTTCACTCCCATATAGCGCATTACATGTTAGTTTGAATCCTAAAAAAGTGAATAACTATGATGGCATTCCATTATTTAACTATTATTCAAATAGTTTTGAATATTATTGTGTTTTGAGGAAGTACAGCTGTATATTTGCATCAGTGGTGAAGCAGGTAGATGTTGACTACGATGACAAGATAAGAAACATTATTTTGACATGACAGCAGCAGGAGGGCATTAAGAGTGAAAAATAAAAATATAGAAATAAAATAATATAGTCCCTGCTGGACTTAGTAGTGCACCTGAATAATAAATTACATTTACAACGTACAGCTAGTGTCCCAGAAATAAACCTTCGACTTGATTTCTGCAGCCTTTTACTTTCATGAGTTTATCAAAACAAACAATGGCTTGATGGAATCTGCAGCGATGCTAGCAGCTCTGTGATGACCGTCTGAATCAAATTCCAGTCTGTCCTGTGATTGTTGAAACGTTTCTCCTCAAACCACAAATGCCAACCTTGAAACTTATAGAAAAACTATTCGGCGGTTATCCATCTGGTACATGTAACGATTTTTCACACAGAACAAATAAAACATCGTTTTCTTGGCTATCATTAGGGTACAGCTTCAGGAGAACATGAATGTTTGTACTAAATTGCACATCAATAGCTGTTGGGATATCCCAATCTGGCAACAGATGATTATCATTTTATCATCATATTGTCATATTATTATTTTCCCATTGAATGTTTGTACAATTGGCTCCAGGATAAAGCAGTAAAAATAATGTGGATAGATGTTGATG